TCCCCATCCTGGATGGCGAGTAGCACCGACAGCACCCAAGCGTTCCGTGATCCATTTCATACTCCTCTGCCAAGTCAAGGGTTGGCCACCTCTCTGTTTACGCCACTCCGAATTGGGCATGGAAAACGATGGCTCGGCAAACGCAACACATGTCCCAACCAACGCAGCTTCTGATGCTGGACACATTCTTCAATGGAAGTAGCCGTTGCACAACCGAAAACACGCTTTCTAACTGCCTCGTTACGGATTCGGTGACACCACCCCACACGAACTAGGGTTCTGAGACAACGATTGTCGAACAACTGAAGACGTCTCAGTTCCGCTGCTCACAGACCAAGGCCAACCATACAACAGACAAGGGTTTACCTGAACGTAATGTAGCAGCTCACTCTACCATGCCCGTTTCAAGCTGCTCTTGTGTATAGATGAAAACGAAGTGGTCTAGCAGGTTCATACAATCAATTGTCTCGCTGTTGAGACCGATACTGGGTTGTCAAAGGGGTAGTATAGGGTCTAGGGTAACATGTGTGTTCATGTCTTGTTCAGCTCACCACGTTCACCAGTTTAGGACAAGTTTTCTTCATGTTGGACTCTTACCAGGTCTTTCTTCGCACACCAATGAACTCTGGGATTCTTGGAAGTTTCCACCTTCAACAGAATCCACAGATTCCCCATTTTTCTCCACTAACCACGGTTATTTGCTCTAAAACGATTCAAACTCTATGAACCGCACCACCTGATTACTGACAACCGAGCCTTAATCAGTAGATATTTCCTCATTTCAGCCGGTAACTTCAAGTATTGGAGCCACAGAAATCAATGATTGCATTCAACATGACAGTAGAGTTGAAGTAGTCTGGTCTTCAGAATTTCACTGACAGCTACAGTGGTAGCGGCAATCACAGGCCAATCTGTCCTCGCTTTTTACAAGTTGAACAGTTTGCGTGAAGAAATTTCATCGCCAGTCGAGATGGTCTCATCATCAGTCGGTGAGCGTGCCGAGTTGTCGCTTCTCCATGTGCTTACCAGCTTCCATTTCAATTACAATACGTCGCTCGGGTCTGAGTCATTATCGAACAGATTAACAAGCTTCGTTCTGATTGCCTGGATTCCACATGATCTTTGAACCTGTCCTTCTTGACTTCCATCTATTGGTTGACACTTGGCCTAACTCTGACCTTGAGTTCCCCATGTGACCTTTGCTGATGTGACTTCCAGTCTCTTGACTTGCTCTTCAGTAGTACATCAATATCCACTCGGTTATGTATCATTGTATCTAGTAGGTGATAATTACGCTGAATGGTGCTCTCCAAGACAATATAAAGAAAACGTCGTCCATTGGTAGTCTGATGATATTTTGGGATGAAATACACTCATTTGCAAACAAATTTGGTTTTTGCGACAGACTCACCTGGACCCCACAAACGAGAGATTCAGCTGGGTTCCAAGTGAGCCTCTCTCAAAAACCAAATTTGTTGTTGGGTCTATCGTGAAAATCAAATTGTTTTGCAAATGAGTGTACTTCTCGAAAACAGTACAATTTGGGCTCAAGTAGAACATAAGGTTGTTGGAAACTGGGGGACTGCGCCCACCTGATGAGCCAACCCGAAGAAGGGCAAAACCAGTCGTGGACTGTCGAAGAATTTTCATCAGTAGTGCATAACGAATATATTTTGGAACGCTTCAGCGAAACTTCGTTCCTCCAAGTGAGGTGAACCTATGCCCAAAAGCCGAGAAGCGCCGTGCGCCCATTTTACCCTTATCAGCATTACGAGCCTTATGAATCCCCATGAGATTCAACCTCCCAGCAAGTAACTGAAGGGTCACGAATGTCTGAGCGACAGTGTAACTAACTCGGACGAATGAAACCACTGTATAATGCTTCTTGGGACATAGGCTGGCTTTACTGGCAGGACTGAGGAATTCACCTAATTGCGCTGAGCGTGTCATGTTCCATCAAAAGTCTTAGATGTGCAATAGATTGTCCCTTCTTTCTCTCCCCAACGAAGTTCTCCAACCGAGGATAATCTTGCCATGTTCTTGGTCGCACTGTTTCTCTAATGGTCGACAGCACTCGTCAGGAGGTTTGTTTGATGTCTCGAGATTGTTTGACTAAATCCCTCCCCCGCCTATGGAACACCGATGAGCACTAAAACAACGGTGCAATTTGACGTTCTTTACGTCCAGTCTGAAACAGATCTACTTGTGGCGTGAATGCAAGTAGAGTCAACCAATCGGTTGGCGATACATCCATCGTTATTAGTCTAACAACATTTCCGTACAAGAGTTTTGGCAGCCAATCACAAAAAGGATTCTACCCCGGGTTGTGCAAGTGCAATTTCATGAGGGTATTCCCTGAAGTTGTAGCACCCTTTCGGTGCCTAGCTGCCATGCCACCCGAAGGAAGTACGAGGGCTGGGATACTGCCAGGTCGCCCAAGCCTAGACAGGGGAAGTCGAGAGACAGAGGTCGGGCTCGAACCACTGACCTTCCGGTCAGCAAAGTCGCGCTCTAACCACTTGGTCCATATCGCCCCCATCCCATGAAGTGCCAATACCTAGGTCAGTTCTTCATCCAACATGCCCTGACTCATCAGAGCTGCTAGACCACTGCAGAGGGTGACGGCGAATACTTGGAAAACAATTTCTATCACACAACTGTAACCTTGGTCGCCCTTCTTCTGCTGCGAGGACAGATGCTTGGGCGGACTCTAGATGGCTACACTGTTCGGTTTTGTGTAACACCATTCCTGGGAAACATGCTGAAACAAAGATTCAGGATCTGACTATTTGACCGGCTTTGTTTGAGTAACCACTCTTCGGGGATTCGCTTGTGGCGGGCGCCTACACAGACTGTCACACACACACACACAAGGTACGACAGTCGCTCCCTGTGACTTTCTTGTCATTGTTTCACGCTAGTGATCGCTTTTGGTAGTGCCCATCATTGGTATTTATTCCCTACAACGCCAGGATCCGAAAATCATCTCGATTTGCCGGACAAATGTGCTTCGCGGTACTAATATGGGTCAGATGTACGACCTTCAAGTCACTTACCAAGGTTTCTTCGAGTTCAAGCTGTGGGATGAATAGGAAAAGAATAAGTGCTTTTCGTTTTGAAGAGAATGTTGAAAAAATACGGATTGTAAAAAACTTTGAAAACATGTACAACATATGGCTAAAAGATGAATATTCTATTCAAGCTTTCCTGCGCATATCAATCTAGGACATATAAGGTAAGAAAGCCGTTTGTAGTGGATGGATGTCCTCTGGCATGTATACTATTCAAGACTTTATTAAAACGGCACCTCTTGTCGCTTTATCTATGGGTTCCGAAAAAGGATAAAATCCGAATCCAAGATCGAGATCCCCTAAAGGAAACCCCCTACAGCGTCACCTCTCTAAAGTGATTCGTTTTGGTCAGTCCTTTTGAAGTCCAGTTAAGATTCTGATGAAAACACTTCCGAGATTTCTGATGATACCGGCTTGTTGCAAATCTCAGCCTGTCTAAAATCAAGGGGATAAAGTGAAAAAGATTGGAAAGCTGCGTATCGTCCGCTGATAAGCTCTGGCTCACGTCACTCTTTACAGCGGGGCCATAGGGGGGGGGGGGGCAGAACAAACACAAACCCTATCCAAGTTTCGTCAATCTTATGTTCTACCTGAACCAAGTTGAACAAATTTCGACAACTACACTCGGGGTCTGATGAGCCCCGTAAAAGGTGAAACCGTTGGCTGTCGAAGAGCTTTCAGAAACCCTATGAGTAGTGCATTACGTGTACAAAATGTTCATATCATGTTCACAACTGTGCTGCTGAGCCGAGTTGATGGACCTTGAGGCACTTGGTGGAATAGTTGTCATCTTGAACGTTGGTCCTCTTGTATATGCAATGACTATGTTGGTTTTCGTTAATACTCATCGAAAACCGTACAGCCATTGCCTTAAGTTCTGTTTTAATGTTTCGAAATATACTGAACTTTTTCCTATTGATTTCTTTAGTCCAAACATGCCGGTAGTCTGCCATGATTATCCTCAACTGTTGTGTCTGTTAATCCGGTTGGCGTCCTAAACTACTAACCACTAGCCTCAACACATTGCTTTGGTGAGTAGGCGGGGTTAGCTACTCATTGCGACCGTACGGAACAACTCCAGGCCCACTAACTAGCAACGAGTCTTTCTCGCCAGGTTCTCTAGTTGTTGTCGTTGTTCGGAGGCTAAGTGGCACATGCGTCAGGGACACTAAAGCTGATGGCTTGGTTGTACTTTAGACAGGGGGTTTCATGCCTTTCAATGACGACTTTAAAATGGAAAAGCTCGGTTAGAGGCCGTAGTGAGAATGCGCGCACCAATGAGGATTGGTACGGTCGACCGAAGTACACGCTGAACCCACTTTAGTGTGCATCACGGATCGTTACTTAAAAGTACACGCCGTCTGCCACAAGAATACAGCAAGAGACCTACAGTTACGCAGGCGTGCAAAGTACATAGTCGGTAGAGGAGGCCTCAACTCGTCACACTAGTACTCTAGCCAGTTTGCTGTGCGCATCCTTGATTGGCAATCTAAACACCTCTATCGGAGAGCCGTGTGGGTCAGTTGAAGTCGAGCACGCATCAAGGCCATTACTGGTAGGAAAAAAGCCAAAAACACAGCTGACAGCTTGGCTAACCAGAAGGACAGAAGCTTAGTAAAATTGAATCAAGAGGAGAAAAAAGGCGAGCAAACTTTAACTGGTAGCAAGCCGGATGAGCAATGCGGTCTGCTGTTTAAAAATCTCACCCCAACCCCCTGTAGGCTGATTTTGTGTGGACAGACTAAATGTCGAGAGGTACCTTTCGGAACGGTGTACCGTGAATGGTACTGATCAACAGGCAAACACTCTTCGAGTGAAATATTTGTCGAATGTCTACTGATACTGTAACGCTGGATACTACTGATGGGCATGTGAGTAGTATGTTCTCTCGTAAATCCGCTCCGCGTCCCTTGAAAAGTGAGATCTATTACGGAATTTGTGGAGTCGCATTTGCTTGCATTTGAGCAACAGTCAATGAATATCCAGGAAAATTTAGGAAGGCGCGTTCAAGGAGAAAATGGATATTCAGTTTTTGTGAGTAAAATGCATGTGAGAGTATTGCTTCCCTGTCCAATAGTCTGTAGCTGTTCATTTGGCGTTTCTTAATAAACAACTCCGCGGCGAAGGCCTTTTCCTTTCACTAATACTAACTGAAGGCTCAATGCACACGAAAGCAGTCAGTGAAGCTCATTACTGGTTATTTCTCTCCGTTGATGAGGTTGGGAGTCTGTGTGACGTATGGTCACGTGTGATTTCCTCGACCAATCCAGCGCAGATCACGCACAGCCTGTCCATCCATAGTTCGAATTTTTTTTGAAAAATCGATAACATTTGGACCGTTCGTATTTCACTGGTTTCCCAATTCATCCAGCCGTATTTTTCGAAGCCACTTGCGGACAACTGTTCCCGATGTTCCTTTGTGTTTGTCAATCGGTAAATGACCTTTTATGGTTGTTTATTTCTTGATTCCTCACCACTGCTGAGGTAAACATTTGAAGTATGACTCTGATGGAAGGCAGTCCAAATACGAGTATACTCATCAACACGCACTGACACAATGAGTCAATAAGGTCAAAAGTTCGCAAATCCTAGTGTGAAGGTTGAATTTGATCGAATCGGTGTAAAGTTACTGGCCTGCGGGGATAGCTGAAAACATGCTGCATAAAAAAGGAGACGGACAACGGGACACACGTAGGACAGACTTACGTCATCATTATCGATCACGGGGGCGCAAGGTCGTTTGGACTTGTTGGCAGAGTTGAACCACCGGATATGGGAAAGTCTTACTAGAATGAGGCCAATGGTTATTCCGAAAGCAATCATATACGGTTGGATGTACAAAATTGTGAGACACATTGCTACTATGAACAGAGCTGAGTAGGTTGGATTTTCCCAAGTGTACAGCTTCTTCAATGCTTGTGTTCCGACTTCGATTGGTGGTGTGTAGCTGGTAATCCGAGTGATATGACCCTGGAGATTCTGCAGATGGGAACGGAACAAGAATGATGTTCCACATCGGCTTGTAAGTAATAAACAGTAGTATATAAAATTTTAGAACAATGAGTTGTAGACCATTTCTGAACTGGTCTGCTACACTGATGGGGCACCATATGGAGCCGTTACTCCAGCATAGCACTCTACAGCAGCATCCTCGAAAAAAGCACCCATAGAAATTGCCAGGATGCTTATTGAGAAGAACCGTCATCATCATCAAAGACAGCAACATCAGTGTTGCCACCGATGCTTCACTGCCGTACAACCATAAAGTCCGCCTATGTATAACATATATATACTTATAGTAAAAGCCCTAGGGTGAAACAAGAGAAAAAGAATGGGTGAGGGAGGGGGCCTAGTGCTGACCTATGTCNGGGGTCACGGGGACCCCATCCTGGAAGTCTCACCACACCAACAACACCCAAACTCTTCGTGATCTCTTTCACGCCTTTTTGCCAAGTCATGTGCTGTCCACCTCGCGGTTTGCGCCATCCCGAAGGAGGCACGGAGAACAACACTCGTCTTGGTAGACGGTGTTTTGGCATGCGTAGCACATGACCAAGCCACCGTAGTCGATGATGCTGGATGTTTTCCCGGATTGAGGTGCCTGCAGCACAACCAAATACCCGTTTTCTAATCGCCTCGTTGCTGATACGCTGACGCCATCCACAACCAGCTACGCTTCTGAGGCATCGGTGGTCGAAAGCCTGAAGACGCCTCACATAATCTGTCCACAGAGGCCATGTCTCGCACCCATACAACAACACAGCCCTTACTGTAGCCTGGTACACACGACCCTTAAGATCCAGTGAGATGCCTTTTTGACGCCACAAGTGACGCAAATTAGCAAACGTGATTCGAGCCTTTGAGATTCTTGCACTGACTTCATCAGACACACTTCCGTCAGAGGTAATACAACTACCGAGGTATGTAAAGTTTTCCACAATCTCCAGTGGTTCTCCTTAAATTGTAAGGGATATGTTCGCAGATGACACGTTCTGAAGCATTAATTTGCACTGTGAAGGTGTGAGCGCATGCCAAAAGATGGAATGATGGCGATCAGTCGATTCAACAAGACTTGTGCTTCGCTTCCCATAAACTCATCTGTATTTTCAACATCTTTCCTATACTTCTCCAGGGAGAAAAAAGATGGGGGCCCAGCCTCGGATGATCTTCTTGGCCGAATCCAACCGTTTTACCATTCGTCAGTTATTTCACCCACGACTTATCGCCGGAGTTCACCAAAAAGGCACTTTGCAAGAATTACTTGCTTGGATTGAATTCACTTTCTTCAATTGTGACACATTACAGCAGCGAACTGTGCACCCTGTGAAATCCTTTCCACCAGATATATCTCACCGGAAATCATTATGCGTGCTGCGTTTTATGCAAACCCCCACATCGCAGATGCAAGGATATCACAAACTCTCTTTCACTCGGTTACTCGACTTTCATCACACATCTTCGACGACGTGTCAAAATACAGATGTTTGTCACAGCGCCTTGGTCCGGCGTGTGGTGCAATAGCGTCGGACAGAGGGGCCACCGGTCGGTGTCGGAATGCTGTTTTTCAGTTTTTCAGCTGCAAACCTTTTGCAGAAGCAGATACTACTGAAATGTAAGATGCACACTTACCGAATGGGAACAAACTCAACTTATAAATGGTCCCCTCTAAGTGAAACCGCTAATAAATGTGGTCCCATCGTAAAATTATGCATCTGAAGGCATAATCAATAAAAATGGGGATAAACACGAGGAAAACGAGGACTTGTGAGCAACTGCTCTCAGTCCCTCTTTGATTTCAACAACTCACCGGGACGTATTTTTGAACAAGCGTCTAAAATTAAGAAGTTTATGGAAAAATTAAGTTCTGTCAACTCGTTTGCATGCCAACTTGGCTTTGATGGAAGACTCACCTGGAACCCACCTGAATCTATTTGCATACCAACTTAACTCTGACGGAAGACTCACCTGGAACCCACCTGAATCTCTCCTTTATGATATTTTTAAGCAATTCGGATTCAACTAGGACTGAGGTTAACAGAAACTTGGCAACTGTACCTATTTGATGAGCCTCAAGAAGGGTCGTGGGCTGTCGAAGAGTTTTAAGCAATCTTAGGAGTAGTGTATCAAGTCCTGTCAACCTTGAGTATTAGGAAGAGACATATTTTAGTGTCCAAATTAACCAGTTACGCCAAAAACTGTGGAAGCTTGAAGAAATGTCTCCTAGCATAAATACAGGGTCATCGGTGGTGAATCGCTTCGATCCTTACCACAAGTTTCGATTTTTACTTCAAAACAAACTTTTCCAGTTCATGGTCGTAGAGGTGACTTCGTGTTCCTTGTCCTATCTGCTTCTATCTAGCTATTGTTCCGTCGCATTTTACGAAATGGCCTTATCGGGATCCCTATTCACCGTAAGCCTCCGGTTAAGGAGTGACATCGTATTTACTTCCACAAGATTGTCGTTTTAAACAGTGTTCATCCCGCCCTGGTGCAATTATCCTGGTGGGTCCACACCGAGGGCCGAAAGCACTGGGCACGTGTTTCACTTCTATGTAAGGTCATCAGCGGTGCATGTCTTTGGCCGTACAGGGATCTGAACTTGTTTTCGGTGATTTCTCCCCTTGGCTAATACATCGCAAGTTTATATGGTACCAGAAATCACGTGGAAAAGGTTAAGATCGGGGCTACATACACTTTAGAAAGATAGGGATCAATGGAAGGGGAGTTGAATGAGGGATAGGTCATGGGTTACGGAATCAGGTAAGTGACGTCAACGTCACGTGGGACCGGATGTTTTGTAGGCCAATTCAATTTCAGAGGTCGCAGCAGTTTCTTTTGGATGCAAAGTAGTGGATCCAGCGGTCGGATTCCTATCGCTTCTGCGATCGATAGTAGTCTGGATCGTACCAGTCGTGATCGGTTCAGAGGTACCCGGCATATGAGGGTGAAGGCTTACTCCTTGTCTATGACATGACTGGTTTCGGCCAACTGGGACGCAACTGCGCTGGAGCTTGGTTTCTTCCAACTACCATTCAGAGACACGGGATTGTGTTCTCGCATTCTGTCCGACAAATGCCTTGTCGTACGACCAACATATGATGCTCGGCACGAGCATACGAATGAGTACACACAAAAGCTGATGGTAGAACGTGGCAATTCGTCCATCAAGCGGAATTTGTTAGTGGGGCTGGAGTTGAAGCTGAAGCACGGATTGGCAGCCAAGTATGTCGTATCGACAGAGTTTCTAAGCCTTTTGGTGATTAGTTCAGCAACTGAGTCACCTTTGAATGGAAGCCTCATGTAAACGGGCTATTTCGTAAATACTGGACACCACCCTTTTGGAGGCGCTGTCACTAGGTTCAAAATTTTGTTGTCTCAGTCGTGGAAACTGCCAGTTCGACCTCGAAGTCGAATTTGAGAATTCATGTGACCAGCTATCTGTGCTAGTGCCTTCCTCTGAACTGAGTGCAGAACAACTGAAATCGACGTTAGCCAATTCGTGTTACAAGTATCTCGGCTACAAACCCAGACCCAAACGACTTTTAATACGACAAGGCATTTGTCGGACAGAATGCGAGAACGCAATCCCGTGTCTCTGAATGGTAGCTGGAAGAAACCAGGCTCCAGCGCAGTTGCGTCCCAGTTGGCCGAAACCAGTCAAGTCATAGACAAGGAGTAAGCCTTCACCCTCATATGCCGGGTACCTCTGAGCCGATCACGACTGGTACGATCCAGACTACTATCGATCGCAGAGGCGATTGGAATCCGACTGCTGGATCCGCAACTTTGCGTCCAAAAGAAACTGGTGCGACCTCTGAAATTGAACTGGCCTACAAAACATCCGGTCCCACAAGTCTGACTGACATTGAGGTCACGTAACTGATTTCGTGACCCATTGACCTATCCCTCATTCAACTCCCCTTTCGTTGATTTCTGTCTCTCTAAAGTGTATGTACCTCCGATCTTAAACCTTTCCACGTAATTTCTGGTATCCTATAAGTTTGTGATATATTATCCAAGGGGAACAATCACAGTAAACAAGCTTTGTTCGCTACCTTCCTCATTCTCGTGACTACCAAGGGCGTATTCAAACACCTGAGACAAATCTAAAGGTGCATTTCTATTTATTGTGAGGAGTGGCAAGTAACGAGGGGAGACGTCTCCGAATGTTGATTTCACTCCTTCGTGCACATTTGTGTCCGTCACATAATTGGTGGCATCTTGGTCAAGCGAGGCGGTCTGTCTGATGGCGTTTGTAAGTGTGTGTGTGTGTGTGTGTGACTGAATTTGCTCAACGCACTGTCAATTTGCCGAATCGTCTTAAGGAAGTTACCCGAAGGATCCTCTTTACCACACACCAACTAATGCCGGCTACTCCTTGGACCTACACTCGTATCACTCACCTATTAGCGTGACAGAGGCTGATGTGGGATGATCTAAAAGGGGGCGAACAAAAATCCCAGATCCAGTGGACTTGGTGACAATAAAAGCCATGTCAACGGGGAACAACTATTCTGTCTCATTCACTGAGATTGGAGCCCAGCAGACTTCAGCAATTTAGACCTTCCGTCCACATGAAATAATGTGCAAGAATCTTTGAGAAAACCTTACTGTATCCAGCCTGGACACCAAGTGCATTCCAAGACCTCCACACCAACAAACTGATTGGGTCCACGACATCAGCTATGGTTCAACTTATACAAAGGGAACCAAAGGACACCTGAAAAGTCTTGTCAGACGTTGTGCGGTGACCCGGTGCAGTGCCACTGGGCCGGTCAACATGCGTCAGTTTGTAGCGTTAATTCAGATTAGGACAAGAAAAATTTTGGGGAGACGGTCGTCCAGCCATGCAAAAAACGGCTCGGGACAAATCAAACACTAATGACATCCTGGTAAGTGCTCCATAAATCTCGTTGTTGGAGCTTGTCATGTGACCATTGGAAGCTGTTTTTCGCACTCTTTCGGTGAAAAGGTTTATTGCCTTTCGTGGAGCTAACACAATATTCATCGGCAGTGAAACCACAAGATTTTTAGGTAGATTGTCAGGACGCACCCAGACATGGAAAAAGTACATGTGCAGAAAGTGACGCACCCCCAAGGTCACCATCGGTACGACGCGTCCGGAAAGTAGGTGAGTTGGCGGCTCTCACCAAACACGGCTTAGCAACATACGACCAGTATGATGGGCCTGAGATTGTTCACGACCGGAACACCGCCATTGGCTGTACGGAGCGAACAAGTGAACCACCATATTTGGCCATTTAGTCATTCTATATATTACGCAGATGCTCTGTATGTTTTGTCCCGGCAATACAGCCGTGTCCCCAGTCCTCTGTCTTCTCCCTATCGCGTAGTCTGGCAGGCTCAGTGCAGGCGTAACCCATAGACGGCCGCCCACGATACAACATAGATTTGTCCTATTTAGGTTCAACAAACCCATGGAATTCCTACGGTTTACTTTTGCCATCGCCTTCTCTGGGGAACAGCTGGTCTTCTGAAGGGTCTCTTTAAATCGATACAGAGTGAAAGAGGATTCGTCAACTCCTGAAGATACCCGGTCCGGCTCATACAGCTTGTGGACGGTTTTCACACCCCCCCCCCCCCTCGTAATTGTACGGCTAAACTAAGGCAGGAAACAGGGGTCTCAGTGACTTTAGGCTCTAAGGCAGGAAACAGGGGTCTCAGTGACTTTAGGCTTCTCGAATTTGAACATATAAATTTAGGTAGGGCCAGTAATTGGCACAAAATGCGTACCAGTTAGTTGGGAACTGGCGATCTGAGCTATTCGGAATGCCTCTGTGATCCAAAATGTGTAAATACATCCGGCTTTCAGGAGGAAATCATGGAACGCACTTTAACATTTGTTTGGTTAACAATTGTTAATTAAATTTTAATAAACGTAAAGAACTTACCCTTAGCTTCACCCTGTTTTCTTGCCATACGCAGGGTTCCTCCCTTGGATAGGCAGCACGAATAGCCGCTCGTATCTGATTGGTTGGAAACAGAGAGGGTCAGTTGGCGTGTAAACATCAACTCTGAACAGGTAAGCGTACAAAATCTGAAAACCTGCTCTTTTCTGATTTGATCGGTTTTCTTAGAAGCTGTACATCCAAAATTATCGACACAAATTGCATTATTTCCGTTAGTTCCTAGAGCACGTTTTTGGTACGGACGATGACAACGTTGGTGGTAGCAAGAGCTTTTTGTCTTTTTGTCCAATTTGGGCGCTGATCATGTTCTTGAACAAATTTTTGAAGAGGAACTATTTGATCAATGTTTGATCGCGGTTACACATGGGCGATTCTACGTATATGAAGATTTGTTCATCTTATCTGCAGCGTAACCTTGCTCGACCGGTAGTCGACTGTACAATTCGGAACCGCGCTACTAAACCTTTCCCATAGAACAAATATATGTTGTTTGAACGCTCTTGAGGTCGTCAAGGCCGAAGGTTTCCTCCTTGATAGATCGCAGTGGGCAACCCATGAACCATCCACACGTCATGGCTGAAACCTGCAGGCAGCATCATACAAGCACATATCTCATCAAATCTCATGTTCGAGACGTAGAATCTACGCACGGCCTCCAACTAAATCACTCCGTAGAGAGGAGGGCGAGAGTTCCTTCAGCAATCAGATGAAGTGTACGCAAGGGTGTTGAAGGAAACGCTACCCTAAAAGCCTAACTGTTTCTAAAGTGTGTCTTGTTAATCGCCGGATGAAAGCAACAGTTCATCCGTCCGAAAGCAGGCCACTGTCGCACCATTCCGAACCGCCTACCACGGTGTGGTGGTTATTGGCTTACAGGGTCGACTGATATGGCGTGCATGGAATCCATTATGAAGCAGGTTGATCTAAGTCACCTCACCAACGGTGTGTCTTGAGTACGGTATCTTGAGTACACTGCAGAAGTCTTCCGAACAGCTTCAAAGGCGCCCCACCGATTTCTACACACAGGTTCAAAAAACACTTCCACGTTGGACGAAAGCGTAGATTCCTAGTGGAGCAACCTGAGCGAAATTAAGTTCAAACCGCACTGCTTCACTGGTCTCTGCTGAAGCCTCTCAGTTCTGTTTTTGCAAATGCTCTGGTCTGGTCCAAGTCAGCGACCTTCCCGATGTGTATTCAAGTTTAATTCTACTTCCCTCAGAACGGGAAATTCCGGATTTCTAATGCCTGTGTGTTCCAACTCGATACTAACGTGCAGAGATGTGTTCGTCGGTTCTGCTGTGGGAACTTGCCAAACAGAGGGTACAACGAAAAGGTGTTTCTCGTTATTCGGATGATTTGACGAACCTCCTTCCATGTAATTTGCCCGAACTATGGACCACTTTTGGAAAGCGAATATACACTCATTTGCAAACTAATTTGGTTTCTCGAGACTCACCTGAAACCCCACCGAAACCCTCGTTTGTGGCGTTTCTTGGCAAATGAATGTGCTGCACCAGGTCGCCTCATGTTTCAGTCGCTACGATATTCGAGATGCATAACAAAGCGCGATATCTCGAAAAACCAAATCAGTTTGCAAATAAGTGTATATTCGCTAATTTCGTGCAATTTGGTTTCAAGTAGAACACAAGGTTGACGGAAACCCCGGAGACTGCGCTTACTTGATGAGCCCCAAAAAGCGCGAAAGCTGTCGTGGGCTGTCGACGGATTTTCAGCAACCTTATGAGTAGTACATTACAAAGATACACTTTTAGAATACTCCAATCAGTCCGGCTGCTCAGGGCTCGAGAAGGAAGTGGTGACTGACAAGACATGCCAAATGAGCTGTTACACAGAGAGCTGCCGGTCCCAAATCCGCTGACTCAAGCTCTCCCGGAACTCCCTTACCTCTGACACGTCCCCTCCCTCGTCGTCTCCGAGAGTGCCTCATATTTCCGTATGAATTGTTTGATTAAGGTCTTGTCACTTATGCTTTACCATCGCCTAGAAATAATTGCGAGTTTATGACAAGACGCTTTTCAAAAGTAGAGACTGGAATTTCATTAAACAACAAGTTTTATCAGTTTGAACAACTTTCCTTCGGTACCATACCCAGCTTAGATCACCTTTAGGCAGTTTTTGTGTCCCCTCACATTAGTACGCCTATTTTCCAACGAAGAGACCTTAAAGGACGGTGCTAACTATACTGCTCAAGTAAAATGAAGCCCCCTCACTGAACACCAAGAACAAAAATGACTCGAGCAGCTTAAGCGAACGCCATTCATGATGTACTGTCCGAATCCGTTTAGAACAAATGGGTATCCAATGGTGGTCCTTAGAAATTGCTGGATTGTCACTTGTGTAGTCCACTCTAACCGCGAACGCACTCCTTTGTTCGGATGTAACTAGCTGCCAGGCATAGATAAATAAATAATTGATGTCTCCAGTTTGATGTTGACGAAGAGCATACAGGTGAAGAACGCGTGCACTAGGTTCCCACAACTATCACAGTTTGTTAAGTAATGCTTACACTGCTAGGTTTCGTACGATGATGAAGCTGGTGTTGGTAATCCTGACATCCCTTGCTCTATCGGGAAAGCGCTTTGATGGTGGAGGTGATCCTTGCGATGCTGCCAGTGGTGTCAGTATTGACTGAACAGGTGATGGCTAGTGCCGATTGTTTCCGACGCTCTTGTGGTGCTCATAACGATAAAATGAGGCTAATGTGGTCAACTTCATTGGTGGTGGTGATTAGGTGTAAAGGCGCTGACACTGGTAGGTGGTGGTAGCTGTGTTAGTCACATACTACTCATGAGGTTGATGAAAACTCTTTGACACCTCATGATAGGCTTCATCCTTCCTGGGGCTCACTAGCTAAGAGTAGTGCCCGAGCCCCCACTAAATCGCATAAAATTGGCGGAACAGACTCTTTTTGCAAATTTGGGCTAGTGAGAGCGCGTTATATTTTTCAAGAAGAATGAAATCGGTAGTTTCGAGCAGACTAAAACAAATATACTCGAAGTAACGTACCAAGTGAACCACAGGGCACCATTTGTACAGCACATTCCGCTGACTGATACCACAGACGGGAGACCCAGCTGGAGAAGACTGAGGAAGCCTAAGAAGACTGCTGTTTTTCGTTCTGATGACGATCTTCGTAATTCTAAGTGAGCTCATGATGGCGACGGCCCAAAGTGCTCATCACGAGGTTGGTGGTGATGAACTCATAGGCTGGAGATTGTCTGTGTTCGTGATTACGGATTGTTATCCGCCTGGTGACAGATGCTGACCCGAGCAGGTCGAGGTATGTTTCTCCAAGACCTTTGTGGATCGAACATAAATTTTTTTACGTACTTTTCCGCACGCGTAATCAAACCGAAAACAACCATAATCTGCCTTAGTTTTGTTGAAGTTTCTTTTAATCGATCTCTCCTCAATTTTTTGGCGCGCATGCAATTTTAAAGTTACGGTGCAATGGTTTCAGATACGGCCTGAATTTGATGAGAAATTGGCTGCCGTCTGGTTTTCATCACTTGCGCCATTTGAGACAGTGTTAAATGAATACATGAATTATAATTATACGTTATTTGTGCGTACAGCGTGTACTGGAACGCTGTTTTGCGCTACAAATGGGGATTCTGTGAACGCAGCAGGCGGTCAGCAAGACCGACGGAAAGTCGAGGAATCCGAATTAGCCGGTAAGTTGAGCGCACTTCTTTATGATAAGCAATACACAAAGCACCGGCCGTGCAGTTCGTTTTTGTCTAAGAAGACACAGGAACAATTTTTCAGTCACCTCATAAGGTTACCAAGTTTTTGTTCGATCGACTTCCGGTGAATCGATGGCTAACCGAAGAAGGGTTGGTGGGCAACTGCAGGGCTCTGCCAAAGTATGGAACGTGAAGCGCGGCAGTTTGTAGCCGACGAATTCGGCAAGGTCTTCAGCACTCAGGACAATACAACTACCTCCGGAAGTGTCGGCCATCTCTGTTGATTAAGTGGCAGTGGTGATTACTCGGAACAGCTACTCCCGGGGTCCGAAAACACATGATTCAGCATCCGTCTAGTCTAGGGGTAGATACAAGACTAACTGTCGTTACAGGAGTGACTCCGTCATATTTTTCGTCCAATAGTGCAGTGTGAGATCTGGCTAATTCCATAAATTATTACAGCTGTAGACCTAACTGCAGTTTTCGCCCATTGTAAACGATTCACGTTTTACCGCAAGTCGCGATACCTCATCACAGTTAGACACCTTTCTTCCGATTCGAGGTCACTGATGACCTTGAAGATTCACTTACCTAAACAATTTATCCATACAGAAAATTTGAATGGAAATTCAACAAACACAGACTTTTTTTAACTATGAAGTGGTAACCTTGACAACACCGTCGTGTTCGAGAAATCGACTCCATTCGGGGAATACCGATCGGCGTGACAGATTGACTGACACATAAGAACCATCCATTCATAGTACTTCAGAACAATGGATATCCAAGGAGTTTTATCAAAAGAAGCTTGAAGAAGGAAACATCTCAACAACAGCAACAGCAAGAACAAGCCACCAGACGGGTGGTCCCACTTACATCAAGAATATATCAAAACTCGCAACCAGATTATTAGCCCAAAGAGGAATCTTCGTGGCCAACAAACCGAATGCCACCCTAAGGAAATTAATCTCTAGACCGAGACAAAACCAAGAGGAACAATGTGATATATCAGATCAACTGCAACCACTGCAAAATACCCTACTTCGGACAAACCGGGAGGAAATTATGCACACAAATGGGGGACGACAACGCGGCTGTCACGAGGCATGAACCCTGTCCTTGATTTCTATACACGAAGACCAAGAAGGCCACAAATTCAATCTGGAAAACGCAAAAATTTAGGCATACGGAGACACGATACACGGAAGAGAATTTCTGGAAGCATGGCACTCTACGACAGATTCGATCAACCGGTGCATCGAACTGGATCCAATTTACGCACCCCTACGTGCAAAAGACCAACATCTCAACCGGAACACTCAAGGAGGACCGAATACTGGACTCACAAACAAGAAAACAAGGAACCCCTTGCAGTCAAATCACTAAAGGTCACAAGCCGGGACTCGGAAGGACAAAGGTCACTCCAACATTGACCAGATTACGACGGCAAGGGATGCCAAGCCCAAAGGTCATGTGGGTATCGGCGAATGAGGACACGGGATAACAGAACAAACAGTGAGGCCGCCTGATCGAACAACTAATCGCGATCAAAGTTCATTCCCGGCTAGCAGCGCGGGAGTTTAGTTCTGCATTTCATCTCATAAACGGTTGAACTTCAGCAGAGTGATTGGCACAGGAAACTCACCGGGTTATGTTCCACATTAACCTCCAGACAAATAGACCCCTTTGCCAGTTTCTTCATAGTTTTGTCCTTCAAAGTGTACCAGCGTTTCCGCCGACTGGTAATCTACAAAATTAGTGAAAGTCAATTTCAGGTTTATTGGATTACCTACACCCACGTCTAACGAGTAGTAATTAGTTGAAACTGATACAACTCAGTGGTTTTCGTTTTATACTGCAACCAACAGCCACTAAACCAATCAATAGGTTTAAACTATTGAAGGGGAAGGGGGCATCGGTGGACGCTGAGCTGCGCGGCCCGGTTGCCCGGGCCGAAGAAGGGGGTTTGGTTGAGGTACCCCACCTTGAGCCTTCGACTCAAAATTCAGACACACGAGGCAGTGGGAGAATATAGGGTTTTCTTTGAGGACCCTGCCCGGAGCCGACGACTCAATAGTCTGACCTGCTCGGCTGCAGGGGGTTGGCCTTACCCGAGGGCGCAGGGAATAAGGCGTTACTGTCTCATTCCTGACGCGGCTGCGCACAGCAGGTGCCTTTTGAGCAGCACCGGGCTGTTTGGTTTCAAAAGTATTTCGACCGTATTGGACAATGCGCCTGTGGTCACAGTAAACCGTTGGGTGATCGGAGTGTGCGGTTTTGGGGCCGACATTTTCTAACCCGTCCCTCCTCGAGGGAAGGCAGCATCGCTGCTTCCATAAATATGGACATGCTGGTCTCCTAGGGGAAACACCTTACTGCCTTCACACTCCTGTCGCAGAGGACAGTACAACTTTACCCCTGAACTGCCTCGTAGCACGATTACTCGTAGTACGGGGTCTGAAGAGAGTATCCCGAATTTGAGTTAGAAAGGATTCAGACCATATCGAAATTTGTTGGCACATTCCGTCCAAGGCGGTTGCTATTCATCCACTGAGGACGCGCCTGAGGAATTTATGGAACTCCGCTGAAGGATTTTATTCATCCTTGAAATCAACGAAATGCTAGGTTGTGGCACAGAACCAACCGAAGATGAATGGAAATGCACTGCTCACGATTGCTCTGTCATCGTCAACCCAATCACTTAATTTAGGGTACCAAACATCCATTCGTTCGTTCGTTTTTTATCGGGGTATTTCAGACTGATTGAAGTATGCTAAGGGTACATGGGAGCCACGAATAGAATGCCGAAACGGCCTCAAATTTTGGAGCTCATGAGCTCAATTCAAACTCTAGCGTTTGGGCAACCGGCCGATGACCTCACTGAGGTTCTCCACAGGGCAGAATGTCGCCCTCGTAATTTGATTGAACACTCTCGGCAAAAGAAAGAAAGGCATACCAGTTCACATTAAAATGACAAGAAGCTCCACACAGCTTTCAGAATCACGAAATTCTAAACTTTTCAAAATATATGGCCCCAGGATTTTAAGTAGTGGTGACAACCATACATCGAATTAACAATGAAACGACATTTCTGCTCGTAACTCCGTTCTTGTTACTTTGTCTTATTTTTCCATTGAGGTAGTTAGTCGATGGCAGAGGCACTGTACTCAACATGGACCCGTTCAGCGGGTCAGCTATACTGCCTAGAGACTGTTTAACCAGTGAAAATACATGAGCTGATGAACACAGGATTTCACTCCCTAAAAAGTCTGCACTACTACGTCAGAAACCGGGATCCGTGGCGCAAACGCGTGGCGGTTGAACGAACTCTCCAGCCGCTTTCTTTCGGCATCCGGATGTGCACATCTACCGCGCAGTATTGTGTCATACTTCCAAGAAGAAACCTCCGTTGGAATGGATATTCGTTGAATATCATCCTGTAGCGTCTTTGAAAAAAAAACCTCGAAAGAGTCTATGAGTCCTTGTTGTAGCTGCTTAGGTTCCGATGGACTACGACCGGTTTCGCCGAAAACAGTCCAATGTGGGTTCAAGTAGATCATAAGGTTGAGGGAAACTCGGGGACTGTGCCTACCTGATGAGCCCGAAGTGGAAGGGCGAAACCGTTCGTGGGCTTTCGAAGAGTTTTCAGCAACCTTGTGAGTAGTTTCCTTTATGAAAATATACTGCGATATCTCGAATATCGTGCTAACTGAATCATGAGGCGGCCTGTGTGCAGCACATTCAGTTAGAGGACATCATAAACGAGAGTTTCAATTGAGTCTCCCGTGAAAACTAAACTGATTTGCAAATGAGTGTATTTCTTTATCAGTCCTTGTTTGTTGTGGCTGCTTAAGTTCCGACGGACTATGGTTTTGAAGCTACCAAAGACAGTCTCCTGAGGCTGGAGCTTCTCTTTTTCAGCACGCAAAAAATTCAACTGGTGCCACGGACGTGCAATTTGGTAGGCCTACCGCTGCCGAGGTCCCTTTTGGTGTACTTTTTGAATCTTATCCGACACATATATGCAGCGAAGCACTGATACTACAGGTTGGTTTCTTTTGAGCAACAACTTTGGGAATGATGGAAAGCGCTGGGCTACATGGTGCGAACCAGTTAGCAGTAGTCAGGGCAGATGTATGCCTTTCATTTCTTCTGTATTACCTGTGTGGATTCAGATCACTCATTACTACACTACTCCTGTCCTCTGTCTGTGAAAAATGCACACATTTCTGTTGGCTGCTAAGGAGCTCACTGGCCCAAAACTCGAACAGATTTTATAGAATTGTCTCTTCAAACACCGCTGACGGTTTCTCAACCCGCGTGATTTCTGTCTTCGACACAATCCTGCCAGTCCCCTTCTGAGAATTTCATCGGTGATAAAACTTTAGCTTTGCTGGGGACCTGCAGACGGGTTATGTCCAACCACGAATACAATACAACTCAGTGTAGTTTCGGACAGGAGGCTATACTCGGGCATCTGGGCTAACCGGGAAGCTTGGTGAGTCCCGGAGGTCGATGAACAGAAGGCGGAGAAAAATGCACACTGCAGCAGCTCCTCTCTCTGTAGCAACCGAGGTTTGGAATTGCTCCGGCTGTTGGGACGTGTCACTCGGCTATCTAGTATCTTCAATACAGGCTACCGATTTGTATCAGAAACATGGGCTGTGAATATGGAACTCGGTTTGACCTCAAAAATATGTGTGCCTCACCCTAAGCATGCATCACCGAACTTCCGGTTCGGACAACCCTCCACCTTTTCAATGCAGGTGGTGTGTTCCTCAGTCAATGCCTAGCTAACTTGGCTACCTGCATGCAGGACAACGTGGCCGTCCCAGACAACTGGGACAAGCGGCAGCAATCAATGTCCCCTCAATGGTCCTTGAAGATTCTAATAGCAGCCTCCAAGTCGATCCGAAAAGGTTTGTCATAGCGTGAATCCTTTGTTGCTAGTCTGTTGCTATGGTCAACAGCGTGGGGCGTGAGCGATCAGTTCCTATTTTCAAGTGCATCTGAAATAAAACAGGATAGTCCGAATATCAGTTGATGTGCTGTACTGATTTCAAGGTTTTAGAGTTTGAGGACCTGTCTCGATGTAGGGCATTCACTTCTAATCTCCAGAGTTGTTGGTCCTCCTTCCAAACTTTCTCACGTGATCCACCAGAGCAGTTACATAAGTCGTCCGAATAAAAGGTGTATTCAGTCAAAGATGACTTCAGGTCTAAGTTATTCGCACTAGACGGCTGGAAAATTGTGCACCTGAAGCTCCCCGTTAGTAGGCATCTTCAGCTAGTCAAGTTAGGACTTCGAAGTAATCTTTACAAGCATATGGCCTACAGGCACTCGTTCATTCAGGCACTATCAGAACGCATGGCTCCATTGACAAGGGAATGCGCCACACCAGTTTTCAAACTCCTAATGTCAGACTCGATGGATACAGCGACGGAATTTTTCACTCACCTGATTCAGCGGAAGTTGAATCCTACCCAGAAAGTCTGCTTTCTCTTTGTCCTCATCCCATATGGTGACCTCCAGGACTGAGTAAATATCGCCAATCGGACTGCAGTGATAACCGTGGAAGGGGAGAAATAGATTTTATAGTAAAAATCGTCTAGCTGCCCAGAAAAGTACTGACTTAAAGTTTGAGTAGGTAGATTATATACTAGAAGTCCGTTTTATTGGATCGATTTCTAGCAGTACTTTTAATACTGCGCCTGGATAGCTATTCTCACTTTTACGGTGCGGTTATTAGTACCTCCCAGACGGCGCGGTGAGTTCTGCGAGGTAAGTGAGATATCCCACTGAAGCTTGGAGAAACTGAGGGATGAGGCTGATGTCTTCACGTAGAGGAACTGATGACGGTGCTCATTGTTATGCCGTCACCCTTGGGTCAATCAATGACTCTCAACGGACTTGAGCGTGTTTGCTTACCGATCTTATTTCCTCAGGCACTAGCGGCTTGCCCGTAGCACCTGTAGTACATTCGGCTTCATACAAGCCGCTTTTGGTTGGCCTGCTATGGGCGGGCGTCAACCACCGCCAGTCTGACACCTTCACCCGACGACTGGAACCTGTTAGGTTACACTGAGATGGTGCAGGTAATTCAATAAAAACGTTCAGTTATCTTCTCTGTTCTTTGATCCGTCATACTGTCACGCGAATATCCTTTTTCGTGTCTAGGATCGGAGAATACAAGTGTCATTCGCTTTTCATGCTGCAGACCAATCGACAGAGTCCGTGAGAGCGACGTGATTGGCTGTTGCGATGGGATTGACTATTCAGTGGCATGGAGGTGTAAATGTTATACACGGTGATGCAAATCTCAAATCACGTTTGCTAATTTGCGTCACTTGTGGCGTCAAAAAGGCATCTCACTGGACCTTAAGCGTCGTGTGTACCAGGCTACA